CAATGGGTCTTTGAGGAAGAAAAGAATCTTGATTTGTGTTCACATTCTAACTCTGTCATAAAGCAGTAGTGTGAGTTTGGGAAGTTTACCTTACATTTCTGAGTTTTAGCTTCTGTAATAGCAAGGTTTAGTAAATGTACTTCCTTCTGTGCGTTAATCAGTCCTATTCTGTCTTGGTGTGGTGCTGTTGGTTAATGCGCTGGGCTGCCAAATTGGCTTGAACCACAAGGTCATTGGTTCAAGCTCACCAACCACTCCTTGGAAACTCTATACAGGGTTGCTGTGGGTCAGTATACAGGGTTGCTGTGGGTCAGAACTGACTCGACGGCACTTAACAACAACTCTATCATTTATTTCTCTTTTTACGTACTAAGGAGAGTCATCTAAGAAGATCTGTCACATGAATGAATGACATGTTTTCTCTGGGAAAAATGGAATTTGGTATTTTAATAACCCAGTGTGCATGCATTTAATAATGCACTAATTTACCAGGCGAATATTTTCTTACTCTCTCCAAGTGCCTATCATCAGGTTGTAAAAGATCATTGTACTTACTTGCCCTTAGAGTCTTCCTGGAGTTTAGATGGCCTCTGTTGGGTTTCACTTTGCGCTTATCAATATTTTAACACAGGGATAAAAATAAAAACAAAGGTGCTCATCTTTCAGTGTGTGAGAACACGGGTCATATGTGCTAAGTCATGCAGTAAGATGAGTAGCAGAACCCTGTGGGGTAGCCAATTTAAATAAGTATTTCATGTGGCCTGAAGCCTCCCTCCAGCAGATTGACTGTCTCAAAATTAGAGGAAATTGGCACAATTGCTCCTAAGGAGGGAAATGCATTTTTGTTTTTCAAAGGTGATTGTATAAGCTTTAATTACCTAATCCAAACACAGACTCCTTCTACAAGCAGCTTTACCTCTTAGCAACCCTGCTATTATTGTTGTTAGGTGCTGTGGAGTTGATTTTCAACTCATAGCAACCCAGCATGATGAAGTAGGACTGCCCCATAGGGTTTCCTAGCAGTTATCTTTACAGGGACAGATTGTTATGCCTTTCTCCCAGGGCGAGCCACCTGATGGATTCAAACTGCCAGGCTTTTGGTTAACAATTGAGTCTGTAACTGTTGAGCAACTGGAACTTCCTTTGCTATTTATTGTTATTAAGTGTGGTTGGCAGTCCAGTACTTATGCTCCAGTGCCATACCAGGAGCCCTGGTGGCAGAGTAGGTTAAGTGTTGGGTTGCTAACTGCAAGGCTGGTTAGCATCTTTCCTCAGGAGAAAGATGAATGTCTGCTCCTGTAAAGCTTTTGTTGTTGAGTGCCCTCTAGTCAGTTCCAATTTATCATGACCCTATGTAGGCTGTGAATCTTTATGGGTACAGAAAGCCAAATCCATCTCTTGAGCTGCTGGTAGAGATTTGTTCTGCTGACTTAGCAGTTAGCAGCCTAACTCTTTAGGCTCCTTAGACTCCCTTTGTTAAGTGCCATTGAGTTGGTCCCGCCTCATAGTGACGTTGTATAGGGTTTCTGAGGAGTGGCTGGTGAGTTTGAACTGCTGACCTTATGGTTCAAACTGACACTGTGGTTGAGTGTTTCTCTTGCAGCACCACACCAGGATTCCTAGGCTCCCTTTAGCACCATAACAACAACAAAAAATCCCACTGCCTTCGAGTGGATTCCGACTCATAGCGACAGAGTTGAACTACTCCATAGGATTTTCAAGTGCACTGGATTATGAACCACAGGGTTGGAGGTTCAAATCACCAACTGCTCCATGGGAGAATTATGATGCTTTCTGTTTCCACAAAGATTTACAGCCTTAGAAACCCTATACGAGGTTGCACAAGTTGGAACCGACTCCACGGCATTTAACATCACCAACAAGTTTTTATGGGAGTAGACAGCTTCATCTTTTTCCTGTCTGCCAGGCCGTTCGCACCCCAACACTTAACCCACTCTGCCACCAGGTCTCCTTTAGCAGCTATTGTTGGTAAGTACGATGAGTCAATTTTGACTCGAGGGGCTGGTATGCTTAAACTGCCGACCTTGTAGTTTACTAGTCAGTGTTTATCCTACGGCACCACACCAGTCTACCTTAAGCAGATTGTAATATCTTTTAGCTTGAGAAATCACAGTATTATAACCAGTTACGTTAAATAACCCACCCATCAGGGTTTGGCAGAATCCTTTTTTTTAAATCTTGGCTACTGGAAATGATGTTTTTGAAGCACAAATTGGCTTGGCTGATATAGATTTGGATAATTATTTGAGATGCAGCTAGAGTTGATTATCCATTTGTAGAATGCGTGCCTCATGTTTAGATCAGTGCTGCTCCTGTGATTTTGTTTTCTGTGCTGAGTTTCTTTCTTCCGTCATAACTAACTCACTTTAGCAGCTATGTGCTTTATCAATCCTGCATACTTGTTTGTCAAATGAATATTTTCTAATTAAAGCTGAAGGGTCTTTTATATTGTTGATCCTATTTTATCTACTTAGTTTAGTTTTCTTTCTTTCAAGAATTCAGAATTCAGGTGTTTGCTAGTCCTGAAATGATGTATAATTAAATATGTGTATGTTGCCACTGTACAAGGAAGCTTTATAAATAGAGGGACACCTTTTTTTTTTTTAAGAGTCAGAACGAAGGACTCTGCCATGCTTGTCACTGAAGAACATAAATATTGATATCAGGTCATATTAAAGATATAATGCTATTAATTTTAAGTTGGCAGGATTTAGTAATCAAAATTAGATTCAAACTACAAAGGAAAAGGCCTAATGCCCTCAGATGAGAATTAAAGTATTAAGTTGCAATTAGATTAAGACTAAACTCTCCTCGTAGTTTACATTATTCTTCACAGCCTGACCACTGTCTTGCTCTTCTGTACTCTCCTCTGCCTCCTGCGTTTGCCCCACTGGCCTTTTCTTTGTCCAACTCACCAAACTTTTGTCCTACCTCAAAGCCATTGCCTTTGCTTTTCCCATAGCTCTTCTGCAGATCTCACCCTCCGTGTTACCCTGAGACCCCTACCTGACTAGCTTACCTCAAGTAGCCCTTTCTCGCCTCCTTCCATGGCCCTGTTTATTTTCCTCTTTTAGTATGTAGACTGTACAAAGGAAAGTAAAAAAATATTGCTATTAGGATTCCAGTTCATACATGCATGGGTTTATTCCAAACAAAATGTATTTAATCATGTCTCTGATTGGTGGATGACTACAGACAAGTTCTTTCAATAATACACTTGTCTTAGTTTTGTTAGCATTCCTTCAAAACAAAGATCCAATCTGAGCAGTGACTTTGAAGAGGATCTGATGGGTCATTTAAATTCAAGGCAGAGAGGTCAGCCTAGAAGATTATGGCCAGTGTTTTTTAGGACCCCCAAAGAGCAATCTAAACAGATTTTCTCTAAAGGACATAGGATAATCATGGGGTCTTATTAGAAAGAAATGTTAAGAAAATTGAACATTGCATTGGTGAGACAAAGGCCAGGAAAATAGCACTGGGGAATTTTTTCCCATCACAACATTGTATCTACTCATTCTTTAGAACAGCAAGAACTGTCCTATGAGAATTTCACAGGAAACCTTACCCCATTCACCGTACAGTCCAGATCTTGTCCCTTCACATGTCTTTTTGTTCTTAGAACTCAAAGAACATTGAAAAGGAACATAATTTGAGTCACTCAAGGATGCTCAGACTGCCATTTTGACATGGTATGGATTGAAGAGCACAGAATTCTCTGGAGAAGGGCTAGAGAAATGGAAAGTAATACTTTTCAGAAGTGTATATTCTTAGATGGAGGACATGTCAAGTAATAATAGCTTCACATTTTGTTATTTTTGCTTAAAAAGGTTGCTATGATTTTATAGCAATACTTTCTGACTTACTCTCATATTTCCATTAATTATTGCCTTTGCCCTACTAGGATGTAAATTCTGGTAATACTAATACAGTGCTTGGCATATAGCATATGGCCAATAAGTATTTATTGGCTAAATAGAAGTTTACTGATCTGAAAAACTCCTTTTTGTTTATGATTACTTTATTATTCTGGACCCAGAGGGTTTTAAGCATCAGATGAGAATAAAAATATCAAATTACAATTAGATTAAGAGGAAGCTCTCCCCATAGTTTACATTATTTTTCACAACCTGGCCAAATCTTTGCTCTTCTTAATTGCCTCCTGCCCTCTGTGGTAGGCCCATTGATCTTTGTTCTGTCCAACCACTCAAAACATTTTGACAAAAGTCTAAGAGACTTATGCCCGAGCTCTTCCCACTCCTCAGAAATATCTTCTACTTTTCCTTTAGCTCTTCCCACAGCTCTTCTGCTGATTTCACTGTCAATGTTACCCTGAGACCCCTCCCTGACTACTTTATCACAAGTAACCTCTTTCTAGTCTCCTTCCATAACCCCGCTTATTTCTTTTTTCAAAATCTGTAGACTGTTTTGTGTGTAGCCGATTTGTTTTCTGGTGCTCTTACCTGCATGAATCTTCACTATTTTTATTGTGATTTTATTGAGTCTTTAGAGAGCAACACTGGGTTTCCTCAGGGCAGAGAACTCAGAAGTTCTCCCAGTGGGACTTGTGCTCACTGTGATGTTGCTCAAATTTCACCAGGCACTGAATAACTTCACTGCAGATCTTTTATGAATGACAAGGAGGTCTATTTTGGTCCTTGATGAGCATGCACTATAACAATGGAGGTAGAATTATTTTGCTTTATTCTCCTTGCCATTGTATCTGGACAGTGCATCCTTATAAGTAGCCTTTTTATGGCTCTGCCTCGGAGCTCTTACTCCATCCTTAAACCAAAGACTACTGCAAACAGGACAGGACATTTGGCCAGCTTGCTTGTGGTTGCTGTCTAAGAATCAACATTATCACTATAGTGCTCATTGAAAGTGGAAGACCTGAAATGCAAATGTGGTGAGTTATTAAATTAAAGTTATTTGTGTCATTCTTTGGTGGTGTTCTAAATGTTGCCATTTATCTATCTTAGGTAATCTATTTAAAGAAGACTCCAGAAGAAGCCTACAGACTACTCCTATCTGGCTCAAATCCCCCTTATCTTCCATTCAGGTATAATTACTTGTGAGGTTTGGGCTAAAGCACTTTGTTAGACATGTCGCTGCTCTCCAGTTGGATGATGCATTCTTCTAATTTTCTAAGACTGTAACCATGATGTTACAGTTTTTATTATTTCGTTTTTTTGCAGGGGATTCTTTTTTTCTCTCTCTAGTAAGGATAACATAGTTTTTCCTTTTTAATGATTCAATTTTTCCCTTGGCTTCCTCCGTTCTTTATTTTAAACACAAAGAATACCGGAATTATGAGCTAACCATGTTGAGATTTGTTAGATTTCAGTAATATACATCATTCATTCATCCATTCATTCTTTTGTTGCATAAGTACTGATGCCAGGGCTGGGGATAATAGAATAAGATCTACCAACTGCTTTCCAGGAGTTCATGTTTAGTAGAGACTCTTTGTCTACTGTTTAGCACAAAGATCTGGCTTATACTTGAGGAAGGCTGTTTTTGCTTAAAGTTTCAAGAGAACTTTTTGCAAGTAAAGACTTTGGGTTAAACGTGAACATGTTTTAGTAGTAGTGGAGAACATATCAAACCTCGTTAGTCCCAGCTTGTACCCCTAGCAGTAAAGAATAAATGAAGAAAAATACACACAAAGTTATCTAGATGGACTTAAAACAAATGTGAGATGCAAAGCTGTAGGACATGAAAGAAAACAGACAAGAAAGTTTTTATGGCATCTTGCTAGAGAAAAGATAATAAATACACACAAAAAAATCTGCAGTGACCCAATAGAAAAGAGGACAGAGGGTAGGAACTGGCAATTCACAGGAAAGGAAATCCCCTAGCTGATAAAAGATATGGGAAGATGCCCATCCACACATGTAGTCAGGGAAAACACCTGTAGTCAGTCAAAGTAAGGGTAGTTCCTGAAGACATGTTTCCATGACTCTGTTGTAAATCTTTTCTGACAGAAGTTGGAAACCTCATGTTTTTTCATTATTATTGCCTGTCATTATTAATGGAGTCTTGGCGTGGCACTGTGGGATGAAGTACTGGACCGCAAAGTCTGTTTGAACCACAAGGTTGGTGGTTCAAACTCACAAGCCGATACTTATACAGGGATATCTTATAGTGGGTTGCTATGAGTTGGAACTGATTCGATGGCACTTAACAATAGTAAAATTTTATCTGTATATTTATAAATCTGAGTTTTATTTGTCTTTGTGGGTAGGAAACATTACATGTAAATTTACAGATATATTATAATACATAAGATACATAAAAATGCCCAAATCATAAAAATTTTCTCTGATGATGAAGAATTTTGACATTTTTTTCAGTTATGGTAATAACTCTTCTTGTAGAAAGTTCTGAATCATCCCTAGGAATAGGGATGGCATTTCTAGTTGCAAGATTACTGAGAGTTGTCTGGTCCTTTTTTTCTTCTTCATATATTTTGTGGTAACATCTCATTGCTTCCTGAATCCACCTGTCAATGTTAGCAAAGTGATTAGTGTTTGGATCCATGCTGTTAAGCAACTGAAGCCGCTGATTTAGTTTAGAAAACTAAATGTGCACACTGTTGTTTTGAGCAGTAGATCATAAAATTGAACACTAGTGAGTGAACCTCTGAGAATAACATCAGCAAATGACATACTGTAACATTGTATGTAATACATATTATTATTCATATAATATACCGCCCCCCTCCCCCCCACACAACAAAAGAGAAAAAAGGTGATGATGGCAAATATGATAACTCAAATATGTCATTGATCAGGGACTTTCTATAAAACCACAATTTAAATGTAATTATTTTAGTGCTTAAAAATTTTAAGAGGAAACCTATACTGAAGTTTTGTTGAAGGTATTTTTATAAGGACTCCACTGAAATGCCTATGTTCTTATTTTATGTTCCTACTTTTAGTGTTTTTCCAATAACTGTGTTGTATGAATACCTTGAGTTTCAACAGTACTATTCTTTGAGGTGATTCATTTAGCAAACACTTATTTGAGCAGGCACATCTATAAAGCCTTTCCTCAATTTTCTAGCGAGACCTAGCAGGCCCTTTCACTAAAATTTTCCTAGCTTAAAACTAGAAAAACAGTACTTTCATCTATGTTCCTTCTATATTTTTTGCATTACACTTTGTTCATGCTATGATGGTGGTGGTTTTGTGATGTGGAGTCGGTTCTGTCTCATAGCAACCCTGTGCAGGGTTTCTGAGGCTGTAAGTCTTTACGGGAGCAGAAGACGTCCTCTTTCTCCTACGGAACAGCTGGTAGTTTTGAACTGCTGACCTTCAGGTTAGTAGCCCGACTCATAACCTCTACACTGCCAGAGCTCCTTATGTTATAGTCATGGTAAACACAAATAACTTGTATTATAATTATTTGTTTGCATGACTTGCCACCAGATTATAAACCTCTTGAAGAAAAGGATTGCGTTCTTTTCTGGTTTGTGTCCCCCGGAATAAGTACATCAGTTTATTGTTTTATCCACAGTACTCACTGTGATAGTTGTATGAATCTAAACAAGATAGGACAGCCTCGTGGCTGCTCCAGGTGAGCTTCCTATATAGTTTCTAAATTTATGATCCAAAAAAAGACAAAGCAAAAACAAGAACAAAAACCCAAACCTCTGTCGTTGCGTCAATTCCAACTGCAAAGCAATTGTAGTGCTTCACCAGAGTCAGGATATAGTTGTTTTAAGGAATCCTGAAGAAAGAGGTTTAACCCTCAAGGTGGAGATTGAAGAAAATATTAGGGATCGTTCTCACAGAATGTCTTTGATGTTAAAATGAAAGTTGGAGACTAACAATCCAGTTGCTGATTTCAAGTGCTATGATTTTTCATTTGTATGTCATAGGTTTTCTTTTATATAGTAGGTTAGGTAGGAGGTTATATAATATGATTGTAGTATACGTACATTATTATAACCTAAGGACTATCAGGTTGTTTGCGGGGGGGGGGGCGCAGCAGATTGTAAGGGTTTCTTCTGAGGTGCTCCTACGTAGACTCAAAACTCTAACCTTTTGGTTATCAGCTGAGTACATTAATTATTGTACCACCCAGGAAATCCCATTGTTGTTGTTGTTCTTAAGTGCTATTGAGTTGGTTCAGATTGATAGTGACCTTGTATAGGGTTTTCAAGGAGCTGGTGAGTTTGAACTGCTGACCTTGTGGTTCATTCTGGGATCTAGTGCTTTATCCTATTGCACTATACCAGGACTCCGGAAATCCCATCATTGATATTGTATTAAGTATAGTTGACATATAGTTGTATTTCAGGATATGGTGTGACATTCAAGAAGTGTTGTGGCATTACTGTGAAATTTGCCAGTCAATCTTAGAGTATTATTCTGTTTAACTGGTAAACTGTGCCAAAGTATACTTTTCACTAGTAGCTAAGGATAACCTAAGGAGCTCTGATAGTGTAGTGGTTCCAAATCGGGCTGCAAACCTTAAGGTCAGCAGTTCTAAACTACCAGCCGCTCTGTGGGAGAAAGATGAGGCTTTCTGCTCCCGAAAAGATTTACAGCCTCGGAAACCCTGTGCAGGGTTGCTGTGACGGCATTTAACAACAACAACAACAACAAGGTTAACCTGGTGTGGTGCTGTGGGTTAATGCGCCAGACTGCAAAGCCGTTTTGAACTGAAAGGTCGGTGGTTCAAGCTCACTAGCTGTTCCTTGGAAACCCTATACAGGGTCGCTATGTGTTGGAATTGACTCAATGGCATTAACAACATCAACAGCAGCAAAGGATAACCAATGTGTATTTATCAAGAGTGACTTGAGCTGAAAAATAAGGGAAAATGGTACTTCCAGTCCTGGTGTGGTGCTGTGGGTTAATGCACCAGACTGCAAAGCTGTTTGAACTTCAAGGTTGATGGTTCAAGCTTACCAGCTGCTTCTCAGAAACCCTATACAGGGTTGCTATGAGTCGGAACTGACTCGCTGGCACTTAACAACAACAACAACAAATATCTATGTTAGTTGTTTACTTTGAGTTCATCTCTTTTCCGTGTTGGCTTGGCAATTGGCCCTTTAAGGGAAAAAGGAGTTGTTCAGTTCTGGGGTCAGAGTGAGCAGAAGTTGGATTGGTGTAAGGCTAATGAATTCTTTTAGCCGTCTCCCCATTTCGGTATGCTATTGATCAATATTTGACAAAATCATATTAGTTGGCAACTTTGCTCAGGACCCAAGAGACAACCGACCCTTAAAAAGACCCCAGATGGTTTCCCTGACAATCATGGCAGCGCTCTTCAAATCTGTTGTCTTGGCATTCATAAAATGGTGTTTGTGGAAATTTAGTTTCACAAAACATTCAGAAGGTAACTGATCTAAAGTGCACAACTCTTCTTTTAGTTATCTTTTGTGCTTTTTAATTCACTTTACACCTGCTTCTTTGTTTATTTGTTACTATGTATTAGATTGACAAGTTACTTGGGGTGGTGCAGTGAATGTGACTTGACATGGCTCTTCGAGCCAGTCTTTGTAATTTCTACCAAATGACTGGGTGTTGTTGTTGCCAAGTGCCACTGAGTTGATTCTGGCCTATAAGGACCCTGTTTAGAGTTTCTGAGGAGTGGCTGGTGAGTTTGAACTAGGACTGTGCAAACCCAAGTGAAACAAAAAAGATCTCTTGGAGCTAGAATGATATGTTGCCATGTGTGGAACTGTTTTTGTGCTGTTTCCTGAATGTTTATGTGATGGGCCATTTGTCCTATTGTGGTATTTTATCCAATGTGAACAAGAATATGTAAGTTTTCTTTTAGAGCAGGTGTGAGGCTAGAAAAATCTTCCTTAACTGAGTTTGCAGGAACCTCCCATTGGTAATCCTTTAATGACATTTATCACTAAAATGAATCTGTGCTTTTTGTGTTAAAGGAGGTGTTTGTTGTGTTTAAGGATGACCCCTAGTGATATCCCTGTTGCTGAGCTATGTCTTAATGTGACTGGGTCTTACTTAATGGGAAATCTCAAAAGCAATTATTCAAGATCTTGTGGGCATGCCAGAACTTGTAGGTCTCTTAACAAAGGCT